CAAGAAACAACATAATTAAATTAATAAAAAGATGGACAAAATACGAAGTAAATTTTTTACACCAGTAGATATTAAAGTGGTGTTTTGTTTCTTGCAGGTGCCAAAGTATCAATGTTGTATGGTTATTTGCAGAAGGCATAAAAAAAATCAACTAGTAAATACAATTTCTGGAAAGAGAGCTGGTGCCTTGGCAACAACTGGCATCAAAGCAGCTCCGCCGTTGATAGTTACAGCTCAGAAGACAAAGATAAGAGAGTAGATACCCAACTTCCAAATGAAGATGGGGTATATAGAGAAGAGTTGTGCCCATGAACCTAGTCTTGTCATTGAGACAAGACATGCTGCCTTAGTCAGTACACAATGGCAGTCATTGTTGTTAAAAAATAGTATAAAAACATAGAAACTGTAGAAATGCAAGTAAAAATGAACCTTAGTAAAAACGGATAGAAACGTAAAAACAATAGAAGCGTAAGTTTTTATGTTTTTACTTAAACTCCAAATTTTTAATATTTTTTTAAAAAAATTCCTATTTTTCATTTTTTTTAAACTCATTTTTTTCTTTTGGTATTTCTAGACTTATATTTTATATAGTTACGTGACTTATATCATTTAAATATGAAGTTATTCATTAAATTTTGAATAGTAACTGATGTGATTTTATTTTTACATGCATATATATATATATATATATATATGTTCATTTTTTCAACAGTCAATGTAAATAAGTTATCTACATTCAATATAGATAAGTTATCTACATTAAGCTCAAAACAACATCATTTTGGGACGAAAATTAAGGTATTTTTTTAATTATAATTTATTTTAGGGTTATAATGGTATTTCTCATTACAATTTTTTAATCTTTTGTCTCAAAATGACGTTACTTTGGGAGTGAATATAGATAACTTATTTAGATTCACTGTAAAAATATTAAAGCATATACACATATATATATAGGGATTACATTTGGTCATGTAACATAACTAGAGCATTTTGTCATGCAGAGACACAAAAGTGGGCTCCATACATTTAAAAAACTAAAATTAAACAAAAAAGAAAGCGCATAGTTCGATGTCTGTGCAGGAAACGTAATTTTTTTCCTGCGACAGCACAGATACATTTCCCACATATATATATAATTTTGTATCTTGACATTAAGTAGTAGAAACTTTACGTTTTCTGTTCTTTCTACAATTTATTTTTCTACCACCCTTTTCTGTTTCTACGTAAAAACTCGAATTTGACAACAACGGTGGCAGACCTTCTCAGTTGTTGTTGACCCCAAGTGTAGACGTAAGTTTTATTTTATTTTATTTGTCGTTATAGGGAAATTGCATTTAAAACTTTGGGTGTGAATGAATGGGTTGTCTATAAATGAATAAAATATAGAAATAGAGTATAGGCAGAGAATGAATAATTTGTTCAACTTTTTGTGAATGAATAACAGGTGGTAATAGGACAACTTTGTCTTCATTGGCTTTGTGTAAATGAATAATGGGAGGCCGCATTGCAACTTTATGTGAATGAATGAATATAAAGCATATACTCTTTTCCCAAAAAAAAATTACCCAACAACAATGCATTCAAAACTTTCTCTAAAAAAAATAATTCAAGGCCGCTGTCTCTGAAACCTGAGAATAAGTGTGTAGACATAAATAAAATTTTCTAAGTCCGCCATTGGCCAGAGTATGTGGTGCCCTCTAGAAGGTTCTAAATGTGAGCTATAATATTGGGCCCAACCTACTGGGCCTTAAATAGTGGGCCATCAATTACACCAACCAAAGAAGCCTAAGGGATTTTATAAGAGACCAATATGTATCCACTAAGGAGTGTTTGGTAAAAGATAAAAATTTTCATGCCCGAGAATCGTGATTTCTAAGAATATAATGGGAAAGTCACTTTTTCAAAAATATTAACAAAATGCTATTTGGTAGCCAAAATGATGCAGAAAAATGGAGAAGTTTTCTGCTATATTATTATTCTTCAACAATCAAAAGTCCCCCTCTCACATCCTTATAACAAGCCTTTTAATCAGGCAATACAAAAAGTAACTGACAATGAAAGACCGTTAATGGTCTTAAAAACTGATACAAAACGAAAATAACCATAAACAAAACATAAAGTCATGCAAACTGAAACGTCTGCAATTATTAAAATTCATAAAAGGCCTTAAAACTGAAACATCTACAATTATAATAACTTATGGTGACTCAAGTGCATCATCCTCTCCCGTTAGAAAAAGATTCTCCCTCGAATCTCCATCGTCTTTATTGACGTCAACTTCTTCAGGTGGTAATCCATGTGGCAACTCTTCCAGCATTACATCTGTGAATTCTGTGAGTTCTAAAATTTTTGCGTGGACAATATAGAATTCTTCGCTTCCTTTCTCTAATACGAAGGTGCTAGTGTAATAAGGTGACCATCCTTTTTGAAAGTGTGAGTATTTTTGAAACCATTATGGTTTGCCTACCTAAACCCTATAGGAACGACATCGCACAGTTTATAAGGTTGTGGGTGTGCTTCTGTTTTTAGCCCCAATTTTTCTACCGTAGTGGTAGAAATCACGTTTTCACAACTCCCTCCGTCTATAATCACACTGCATGCTTTCCCCCAGCTGGTGCACTTCGTGTGGAAAATGGTGTGCCAAAGCCACGTTTCATCATTCACCAAATCCTCTTTTAAGACTCTTCGAGTGACTAGTGATTCTCCGGTATCAGCATAGACAATTTCTACCTCTTCAGATTCTGCTATAGACAATTTCTACCTTTTCAGATTCTGCTTCTTCTTGTTCATCTACATTGTCATAGGTTGGTTCTTCATAAAAAATTGGAGCCTTTGCAAACGTCACAATCTGCAAACGTCACAATATGTTTATTTGGACAATCTACAGAAAAGTGTCCAATTCCTTGGCACTTGAACTGTTTATTTGGACAATCTGCAGAAAAGTGTCCAATTCCTTGGCACTTGAAACATCTCTTCCCTGCACTACTTCCTTTACTCGACCCTTCCTTGTTGGGAATATTTGTCACAATCTGTTTATTTGGACAATCTGCAGCAAAGTGTCCAATTCCTTGGCACTTGAAATATCTCTTCCCTGCACTACTTCCTTTACTCGACCCTTTCTTGTGTGGAATATTTTTTTGAGGTGTAGAACTCCTTCCAGCAGGTGAAGTTGCTGATGAACTCACTGATTTAGCTCCGAATTCCGTTCTAGGAAATCCACATAGATATCGAGCAATCACCTGTTCATCTTCTTCGACCATGTCACAACGCATTCGAAGACAATCAAATTCAATGGTGTACCGTAAGGTCACGTTGCCTGAAATTGTGACACTCAATAAATGCCTCTTGTCTGTATTGAGCGGGCAAAAATTTTTGTTGCAACAATTTCTTCATCTTGTCCCATCTATGAATCTTAGGCTTTTCGTTTCTGATTCTTTGTTTCTTGACATGTTCCCACCAGATTGAGGCATTCTTCCTCAATTTGATTGCCATTAATTTCACCTTTTGCTTATCTGTGAGGTTTTTTAAATCAAAGATCCTCTCGACGGTGTGTAACCAATCGATGAATACATCAGGGTGAGTTGACCCCTTAAATTCTGGAATCTCGATCTTCATCCAAAAATTGGATATGAAGGGTTGATCACCGATTCTACCTCTCCTTGGTCTTAATTCTGGAATCTCGATCTTCATCCAAAAATTGGATATGAAGGGTTGATTACCGGTTCTACCTCTCCTTGGTCTTTCGAGGTTGCAAAATGGATTTCCATCCTCTTCTTCCTCTGGAGATGACAGTTCAGATTCTTGTCTCCCTTCTGACCTGTGCAATTGTGCGTCTGCAAGCAATTGTTCGAGTTCTTGGATCCGTCTGTCCTTTTCCTCAATTTCAGCATCTCTCGTATCAATATAGTAATAGTCATCTGTAGTTTGACCGCGTCCTCTGCCGCCACGACCTCTTCATACTTGACCACGACCTCTTTAAGGAAACCAGACTCTGATACCAAATGATGCATAATTATAGGGAAAATAGGCTATTAGGAAAATGCATAAATTTTCTACTATATTATTATTGTTCAACAATGAAAAGTCCCCCTCTCACATCCTTCTAACAAGTCTTTTAATCAGGCAATACAGAAAGTAACTAACAATGAAGGACCACCAATGGACTTAAAAACTGATACAAAACGAAAATAACCATAAACAAAACATAAAGTCATGCAAACTGAAACGTCTGCAATTATTAAAATTCATAAAAGGCCTTAAAACTGAAACGTCTGCAATTATAATAACTTATGGTGACTCAAGTGCATCACAAAATATTATCAAAATTTTGTCCCAAAAAAAAGTGAATTTTTTTTCCAACACTTGGGATTCCCAGAATACCACCACTTTGGTGATATTTTTGTATGACATTTTGAAAAAAAATTGTATACAAAACAAAATCTCAGGAAAATCATATTCTCAAGAAAATTTTCAGAAATCTTATAGCAAAAAGGATAAATAAAATTACCACTATCACATTAAAAATACAAAAACAAGTAAAGTCATTTAGCTATCACATTGAACGTAAATGGTACTTCGTTTTAAAATGAAACTCATTCAGAAAAAAATACCATTTTAAATGTGTTTTTTATTTTCATTTTTTACTGTCACATTAATACCATTTTAAATGTGTTTTATTTAAAATGTTTTGATTATAGAGCCTCTTTTATTTCATATTACTTGAGGTAGGATCTCTCACACAATAAGTTATGTAATGGATCCACCACTTTTTTTTAAAAAAAAGATAACACGAATTTCAATATCTTACAATATGATAAAACTATCTGAAAAATAATTTCCTTTGATTATAAGCATTTTTAAAAGAACAAACTACAAAATGTATAATTAAATTAAAATAAATTTAAAATTTAAAACAATCCATGTAAATGTGTAATAAAACTGATTAAAAATCCATTTCATCAAACATCAAAATAAACGAATTACATAAATAAAGGGATATAAGAAGGCGGCTTTCACGAAATAATCAAAACATAAGCTCAGGTTCCACGCAACTTAAGTCTAAAGAGACGAGAATAATTGAAGTCCTGATAGCCCCACAAGGGGCAACTTTATTGCTTCAGAATTTTTGATAGTTTAAGCGGATGGAAATTGGAAAATTGTGTAATTATCAATGTGATTCCAGACATGACGTGACGGGATAGTGCAAGTGACATCAAGCAATCATTCTTTTAAAGCAGACGTTGGAAAAGCTCCAACAGCAGAAGGCCACATTTCCCCTTCCCCAATAGGCAGCAGGTAGCTATCAAACACATTCAACACCCATGAACTAATATAACGCTCCCAAACTGGTGGGAAACTGACCCCAGATTTCAAAAAGCAGCCGAGGGGCAGTAGGGAAACAAAGACAAAATTCCCCCATGTTGAAGCAAACCATCCCCCAGAGTAAGAGTAAGAACATCATATCCCATAAAAACAAGTAAACTCGAGTCATGCAACTAGCTCCACAATAACAAAAAAAAAAAGTTTTTTTTTTCTTTTTCTTTTTTTTTGGTGGTGGGGGAGAGGAGGGGAGATTTTACTGTTTGGTCCTTTTTTATGTTTTATAATATGTATTTTCTTCCCATTTTTCAATCATTTTATCGTAAATATGCCTTGTGAGAAATCATTCCCATTTTGCCATATGCAAAATCTGAGACCATCTCCAGATACCAGCTTCCCGTGACCCTCTTAAAGAGCTGTCCAAAAAAAGAGTGCTAAAGCGCACATCTACAGCCCTAATTTCTTGCTGAAATAAAGTGATCTGAGCCTTGAATACCAACTTGACCAGTACCCTCGCTAGTGGAGAGCTGCAATGAATTATTCAAATCCCCAAATGCAGATCTATGTTGTGAATCATCAGATAGAACATCTAATCCTCCAGCACCATCGTAATCAGTTGTGACTAGTTTAACATGGCGTACTTGTTCTGCCAGCATGTCAGGATTCAACACTCCAAGGGTTTGAGAACCTGTAACATTAGAAAACTGAACGGGAGGCATGACCCATTTCCCCCAATCATTTCGTCTCCTTATTTTGTCACCCTGTGATATAAAGAAAAATAAATAAATTTCAAACAAGAGGTTTAATATATCCATAGAACAAGGACAGATGAAAATAACTTTTATTAGATACTCCCAATGAATTCGTGTTCATATTCAAAACCATAGAATTAAATCTCGAATGCAAGATCAGAAAAATACCTGCAATTCAACAACAGATGAAGTTCGAACAGCATCTATAATAAGCTGAATATTGTCAGTCAAATGCATAACCTGACAGACAAACATTTATCACTGGGTAACGAATAATGCCAAACTCACGTTCAAATAGGATATTTTTTTTTAAAAAAATTGTTTGCTGTGGAATTGGAAAACTAGATACAGCAGAGTTACAAGCTTCAGATGATATGTGATGAACTCCACCACATAAAATAGTAACATTAGAAGATACTAAAGCAGGCATTACACCCAAAACAATCATACACATTTACTCATCCATTTCCATTTCACCTGTGTCAATCATAATTAAGATTATAGAAAATTCAGTGAGATCGACTTCTGTATACATCAGAGTGTAAGATGTTTCAAGTTAAGCCTAAAGCAATTAAGTGTAAATCAAAATACATTTAACAACATGAATAACAAACCATAAAGCTCTTTTTGGTCCAACCTTGGTGTATAAGTATAACCATAATATCACATGCATGACCATAATTATATCCGTTAAATATGCCACTTAATTAGATTTCAGGTGATAGTAGTAGTAGTAGTAGTAATAATAATAAAAACAGAAATATTATTCAATACACTAAAAGGAACATTTAATTTTAAATCCATGAGAACAGATTATAAAATCTAAAATTTAAAAGGATCACAATTAGCTTAAGCATTTTTATTTTTCTAATAATGGTGCATATTTTCATACATAAACTAAATTTGATTATCAAACCCATGCTTTCATTCATATTATCCTATTTCAGTGAAGGGAGCGCAGAGAAAAGGCACTATCACAGAAGGCCAACACAAGTAAATAATTTCCATGTTAACATATGATACCCACTAGGAGATATCTCACATTTTCATCATACTGATGGTAAAAAAAGACTAGGATATGCAAAAAATATGGTTTTCATGTAAAAGAATTATGCAAAAATAAGTATTTTTTTTTTAATCAGAACCTGGCCTTGCATTTTAAACATTTGCTATCCAAATGCTATAAATTTTTCCTCAAGACACTGCAATAACTTTTTGTTTTCCAAGTGTAATTCAGTGATACACAACATAATTAATAAAAACTTGACTCTATATTCCTTAAACAGAGTAGCATTACTGCATATTGCTGAAAACTAAAGTAGGATAAAAGAAAAACCAAAAACCATAACCTGAATCCCCCACAACTATAAGGACTAGCTTAACTCACCAGAAAATTAAAACTGGTCTAGGGCAGGATGCTAACTTTTGCATCCTGATCCCCTCCTTAAAATGTAGCACTTATAGTGTACCTTAACGTCACTTTGATCATTTCAATACTAAAACTATATCTTAAAGAGCCGAGTTTTTTCCTCTCCAAAACATATTTTCTACTAGTACAATATTATAGGAACACTGCAACCATAGGGAGACAACATATGCTACCATCATTTCTCACCCCATGATTGTGAAAGAACAATAAAATTAAAACATAATTTAATCAAAATCAAAACACCACATATGCAATCATCATGACCTAATAATCATAGCAAAGAAGCACCTAAATCAGTCAACACGTAGCTTCCAGTAAAGGGTGGATGATCGTCATATATAATTTAATCCTTCTACAGTAGATTAATAATTTATGTCATGTAACATATATATGTATATGTGAGTGTGTGATCAACTACAAAACAAAAGAACAATCCATCTCCCACACACACAAACAGATAATCAATCACATTACCCCAAACAACTCACTTTGTTGAAGCCTGCAATTAATTTTATTGGAACCCAGCCCTGGTCATCCATGTTCCGCCGCAAGAATGTATCTCTAATTAAATTCTCATTACTGCAGTAGACAAGTTGTGGTATATCTACAGTCAACCTTCTAAACCAGTTAAAGACAAGAAAACAAATACAAAATATTGACAGGACAAAATAAAAGCAGTACCTAAAATAGTAGTCAATCTGGTTGACTATCTTAGTATGCAACTGAGGGTCTGGTGGACCTGTATAGAACAGTGCATGATGTGGCATTGGAGGCACAAAAGGAGCACCTCTTAGTGAATCCAGGGGTGGAGGTGGAGCTGCAACAAATACCATCGGAGGTACCAGTTCTGAAAAATGAATACTGCCATCAGAATAAATTCATATCCTAAAAGAATCCATCTTGTCATTAATACACCATACCATGGAATCCAATGTGGCTACCAAACGGCCGCACAGGTGGTGGGTGAATAAATTGAGCAGAATTAGGAGGCGGAGGTGGCCTTATAAATCTTGGAACAACTCTTGGTGGCATGTGTGCGTCTCTACCATTGAAATTTCGATGAGTATTCCAGTCCTGATCGCGCCTGTTCCCATAGTTATGATGGTGAGCACCATCTCCACGCTGATGTGGACCGCCATTACGATTTCTAAATGAATTACGCTGCTGTGGATGATCATTAGACACAAATCCACTTCTTTGTGCATGGTCCTTTGGAGATGAGTTGTGGGACCCTGTTGCGGCTATTGAAACCTGGGGTGCAGACTTTTGTGGGTGGCCACCATTAGAAGATGCATTTGAACTGTTATGTCTGAACGATTTCTGGCGAGTCGGCACCATATTGTTTGTGCTTGCATTATCACTGACTTGCCTCTGTGAAGAGGAAGAAGGCGTGCTTCCCATACCCTATAATTGGCACTTAAAACAATAGCAATGTCTATGTGCTTATATACAAACCATAAAACAAAGAATATACATGCCAGCTCACAATCATCCAGTTGCTAAGATACATCCATAACTAAAAACTGAAAGAAATACTTGCATTTTCCAAATTTTGCCAGAGATAAGAAAAGGTTAAGGCTCCTATAAAGTGAGCTTGTATGTAAAGTGCGCAAGTAAGGATGTATCTACCCTAAATTTAATTTAAAATACATCATGATATTATCCCACTAAAATTTAAGAGAAAACCATTGAAAACACATGAAAAATAAACTAATAGCCCTACAAATACAAATAGTTATAACTGATTGTTGCAGGTATTATAATAACTCAAATACTAGACTGAATCGCTAAGGAAACAAACCTGCAATTGGGGCACAGAAGATCCATCCAACAAACCCTTGGATGATTCCGATTTCATAGCAGCTCTGGTGGACTCGGACAACGCGGGCCAAGAGACCGCGTCCATGACCGGCGTAACCTCCGAAGCTGCGCCATTGGAAGGCTTGTTCCAAACAGGCCTCTTAACACTGTTGCCATTGTCAGAGCTCTCGGCGGCAGAGCTAGAATCATCCACCGGGGCTGCAGCGGCGGCGGAGGAGGAGGGGGAAGGTTCCGCCGACTGAGGCGGTGGCGGCGAGGAAGGAGCAGCAGCAACAGTCTCCGATTCGCCGCGGACAATCTGGTTCCACGGCGAAGAAGAGACAGGGAGCCGCGTTGCGCGGCGCGATTGGGGGTTATCGGAGGAATGATTACCAGTCATGGCCATAGATAATAGCAAATGTTTAGGGTTAATAATAATACCTCAGTCGTCGACGAGATGATCGACGTCGTAAGAAAGAAGATTCGATTTGCAGAGAGAGAGAGAGTTTTAAGGTTTGGATGAAACTCCAAAACCAAATGTAGTAAACTAGGGTTCCAAAATTTTGAGCGATCTGATAGAGAAGAAGAACTTGTTTTGTTTGTGTTTATGTGCGTGTGATGAAAGAATGCGTTCAGAAGAAAGATTGTAAGAATGCTTGGGATGCCAGGTTTTCTTCTTCTGTGACGCTCGATTTTACGCAAATACCCCCTGCGTTATTTCCATTTCCTTTCCATTACGACTTTAGTTATTGACGTCAGACACCAGTTACTGCCACTGTTGATGTTTACTGTGTTTTCTAACCAAATAAAATGAAAACTAAAAAACAATTTAGAGGTACCTTCCGATTAGTCTCAACTGGACAGCTTTCTTTTTCTTTTCTTTTTTGTTATATTGAACTCGACAGCTTTTTCGTCCCACCATTAAATAAATTAATTATAAAATTAATTATTCCAACTAATGTCATCACTTTTCAAGTGATAAAACTACGCTCATGTTTTTCTTTGCTGCTTGCGTTTTCTATATAGCTGTAATTGAAAGAAAATGGAAAACAAAATAGGATGCTATTGCCCCCAGCAATTAAATATTTTTATATTATTTTTTAAATGTTTAATTCTACGCGGTGTGGTCCCCATACTAATCAAATAAAGAGCTTCAAACATATGTTCACAGTGAGCACAAGTAGACTGGATGATGGGCACACAAACCTAGCAAAACTACCTTTCGAATATAATCACTAAAATCTTCAAGTCTCCATGGTTTTTATTAAAAGATTACAACTCATCCTTTTTAAAATCTCAAGTAAGTTTCAATATAGTCAGTCATAAGAGGATAGTTAAAGCAACGCGTGAACCAACAACATTTGATTTCAAACAAGTGGTCAAAATTTAAAAAGTATCCAAATGTTACATAATAAATTTTAAAAAATAATGTAACTAATTTTAAAAAATTCACTTGATTTAATAGTATTTTTAAATTGAGAAATCATATAAAATTCAACTAATATAATTTATTTTTTATTTCACAACAAATCACTCATTTTATACTCTTATAGCAAATTTGGTAAATTATCAAGGACCTGCTAATTCATGAACAAATGTAGGAGGACAGACACATACTTTGCAAAATACTTCTTCACTGATTTGGAGGAAATTGAGCCTGAAGCCGTTATCTAGAGTTCAGGCCCGCATAAGACCTTTTGTTATAACAACAATTTGGCTTTGAATGTTGAATAAATCCTAGAATTGGAACATCTACATTACGGTTCCCATACAAAGCTCAATATTATATCCTAGAAAGTTAACGGCCCATTTGGGGCCTTCAAAACAAATCCTTGGTATACGCTTATTTCGGCCCAATATGAATGAGGTTTGTCATAATTTTATCTCCTATATACATATAATGGTGTGTGTGATTTATATTTATATTTTATTTTTTTTCTTTTCATTTGACTTTATATGAACCCACATATTTTAATACATGTGTTGCAGATAATATTAATTTATCTTTGATAATTAAAATGTATTCATAATATAATTTAGTTTTAGTTTTAGGGAATTCATTTTCCTATGAAATAAGAGATTGTTTTCTCTTATTGCACGTGTCAAGATCCGTGCTATCGCCTTTTTTATAACAAGTAATGGGTTCCGTCACTTTGTATCTGTCACATAATAAAACTTACCTTATATAACATGAGAAAAGAGAAGTCCTTAGTTTCAATAGTATAATTAATTATTAAAGAATTATCATTTCTCTGTCAATTTAAATTAAAACTATCTCTAACAACTCCAAAATTACATTATTTTGGGAATGGGGATTAATAAAAAATATTTAATATATATATATATATATATATATATATATATATATTTACCAATATATCGGATATAATTTATGTCGATCGAGAAAAAAGAAACCATTATTACACGGGTGATTGAATCGCGAAATGAGTATAAGCTTTATATAAAGTTGTGAAGCCCCTAATATGAAGAAGAAGCTTTGACTCTGGGAAATTTGGAGGGTTTGGTTATTCCTTAGAGATGGCAGAGAAAGATAGGGATGAAGAATATGATGAGACGGTGACGATGACCACCATTTCCCGGCACTGTTTCGGCGATGATTCTGAAAAGCCAAGCTTCCGCATCTCCATAATTGAGGTCCTCCACTTTCGCTACCTCACATTCGGACTCTCAATTCGAAACACTAACAAATACTTTATGTTATTTTCTATGCCTTGAACGCAGAACATGAAGGAGGACTATGGCCTATTCGTGTGGCCCTGCAGTGTAGTTCTTGCCGAGTACGTTTGGCAGCAGAAGAAGCGATTTTCAGGAGCTAATGTTGTTGAGGTTTGCTTTTTAAATTCGTCGGTTATAATGCACTTTATTATCTATATGATATTTCTTATCATGTTGATGCAGCTTGGTGCTGGAACTTCCTTGCCTGGTTTGGTTGCTGCAAAAGTTGGTGCTAATGTCACTCTTACGGATGACTCGAGCAGATTAGAGGTATTACACTATCACCATCTTATCATTTTTTAACTTGTTATTTTAAAAAAAGGTTTCAAATTAATCGGTTGCTATGAAACAAAGTCAAGTGTAATAGTGTATTACCTTTTGATTGTTATAATTAAATCATAATGGCCGGGTCCTGAAACCTATAGATCTGTCAGATGATTGCTTATTGACTATTATTGATTTGGACTTGTAGGTGCTTGACAACATGAGAAGAGTTTGTGACCTGAATAAACTTGACTGCAATGTAAGCTATCACTACATGGGTTTTCTAAAAGGTGGTGATTAAGCGGAAGTGTGCAACAGCCACTGCTTATATGTATACATGATGCCTGAAATTTTATTTCATCATATTGTCTCTGTTGTCTGAATGTATTGCATTCTACTTGTAGGTGCTAGGATTGACATGGGGAGTTTGGGATTCATCCATATTCAGTTTACAGCCGACAATTATTCTGGGGGCTGATGTGTTGTATGACTCAAATGGTGAGAAAATAGGCTGTGTTAGTTATTTTCCATCTTCCTCCGTGGATTGGACTAAAGCATTGTTTCTTTTATAATATTTAGCCTTTGATAACCTCTTTGCTACTGTGACATTCCTGCTCCAAAATTCTCCTGGGTCAATTTTTATAACTTCATACCATAATCGAAGGTATTTTTCGTTCTATGTGATGCTAACTTATGACACAATTTTGTCCTTGCTCAACAACCTGCATCTGACAATTTTTTGTTCCTATTTTTTTTAATTAAGCTATCTAATCATTTGCAGTGGGCATCACCTTATTGAGTTCTTGATGGGAAAATGGGGCTTAAAGTGTCTCAAGCTTCTTGATGGGTTTTCTTTCTTGCCATCCTACAAGGCATCACTGCTAAGTGGTAACATTCAATTGGCAGAGATAGCTCTTATATCAAAAGATAATGCTTGAGGTAGCTCAAAGTTTTATAATAAAATTTTGGGAGTTTTCTTGGGTGCTGGTGCTGCTTTTATCTATGTTGTTCTTCTTCTTGCTTTCAGAAAATTACATCTCATGTATAGATGATCAACCAATAGAATTAGACATGATCATTCTACAGGAATGCCTCCTACAAATGGATATCATTGCTTTTCTGCCATACACTAGATAAAGAAAAAGCAGATTTCCTGTTTATTTGGTTGTTGCTTAATGTTAAGTTTAGCCAAAACATTGGAGCAACCTTTGTGGATAGAGAGCCAGGATGGCTCTCTTTGAGGAATTCTATAGTGTTATTTTCTTCAACAGGTTTTCAAGTTTCATTTGGATTTGATTTGATTTACTCTTAAGAATTATTGTGCATTTTATTATTCAATATTTGAATTTTGAAAAGATGTTTACATGTTAATATTTGCAGGGCTGTCAAATTGCTAAACCTAAAACCTGTATAATTTTTTTGAGAATTTAGATATTCTTCTGTTGTGATGAAAACTGTTGCATTCTTCATAACATTTCTTCTTTAAATCTCAGAAACTGTTTTTGCGACATTACTTTTGGGATAAAAGTGGGGAAAATGAATGCTCAAACATGGACCATGCCCAGAAGTATATAGTTTTCACCAGTAATGTTCTCTGCAGATAGGTTTGTTGCATATGTTGTTACAAGATTGAGCCCTTACTTTTTGGACAAAAATTATTACGTAGATATGGAAGATATATAATTTTGCATTCTTATCTGCTATTCCAAATTGTAGCCTCTGATAGTTACATTTGCTGGGCATGTTCCTTACAAGATTGAGCCCTTACTTTTTATCAAGAAAATCATTCCTTGAATTAGTAGGCTGCCAAGGTCATGTGCCTGAGCAGCATGTTTCCTGGCTCGTTACTTAAGTTTGCCAAAATGGTATATTTTACAACTTAGTTCTAAATTAATTTCCATAGATATGCTTGAGATTTTATAAATTGAGATAAATATACATATTGCTTGCTTTTATAAAGGGAAAAAATATACATTCTTGCCATCTTGGAAATGTGATCCACCATTGTCAAACTTCTAACTTGTTTGGAAGATCATAATTTAACTTGAATTAAATTAAGACTTCTTAATTAGTCACTCTGCAGTCCTTCCTAACCTCTTGCCCACCATTGATGCTACCCATTTTGATCATGGACTTCCCAAAAGCCTCATAAAAAGCCTCTCGTGAGGTGGCAAACTTAGAAACCAGATGCTTAGTGTATGGGCTATCAAGCAAAGCTTGATCAGAAGAAAACAGGCCTTTCCCTTGGAGGATCAACTTGTAATATGTATTATCAAAAGTTATTGAAGAAGGGTCCATAGTGGTGCCTGCATTTTTGGCTTTATTTTTTAGTGGACAAATTGATTTCAGTTTTGCTGCAAATGACGGATTTAACGAAGGGTCTACATCATGTGTAGCATCAAAGTTGTGGATTCTGTTCTGGAAAGATGAGCAGTGAGAGAAACCTAAAGTATGCCCTCCTACATATGGGTCAAAAGACATGTTGCTCTAAGCTCTATTCAGATATAGCTTGGAATAAATGAAAAAAGGGTCAAGTTTTGACAGTGTTAACCTTAGGAATAGCTTACCTGACAGAGCTACCAGGTCTTTCACTGACAATCCTCTTTGAGAGAAGCTCTTGTGCAGTTGTGATATGTTGAAGTTTGGCCCTGGTAATTTTATGGTTTCACTGGCCTTAGATGTTCTTCCATCCTTTCTTCCTTTAGGAACATCCCATCTAGGTCCACCAGACTGTAAAATATACTTAGATATACCATCAGTAGAAACTTGCAAATACATGTTACCAAGGCTGTATATGTCAATGCTAAAAAAGATAACAGTTGTTTAGGATCCGAATGATGAGAAGTTTGGTATTTAGCTTTGTTTTCTTACCAGAAAAACTGCATCCCTTGCTGCTAAAGCAATGATATCAGCACAAGAGACCGCCCCAGGGCATGAAGCTTCTACGGCTTTCTTTGCTTCATTAATGACATAAAATGCATGCAAAGAAACATTTGGTGGTCCGTCCTTTTCTGCTTTGTTGTTTCCTTTTGAATTTAGCAGCACCGAAGCATCACACCCCTTTCAAAAGTGTAGGGAAAAAAAAGAAAAAGGATATAATCTGTTCGAATGATGCATCAAATGTATATTGGCATGGGGGTAAAAGGAAACAGTAAGAAATGTCAAGAGGAAGGGAGGGGGGGCATTATAGCATTACCCGAATGAAACAGTCATGGAAGTGCATTCGCAGAAGTGCTGCAGGAACTGTTTTGTCCCTTGCAGTGGCATCCTTCACTGCCTTGGCAACAATGAACTCCAGATCGGGGCATGTCTTTTTATAGTAGTTTAAACTCAGTGACTTGCAAGGAGAAACTATTGAAAACATAATAATCAAATTCATGAATGCAGCCATGAAAGCCATGGCAATCAAGAGTATTTGATGATTTTTAGCTTTTAGCTGTGGAAATCAAATATAGGCAAAATGGGTTTTTATAGAGATAAAAAGAGATTAGTTATTGTATGAGATGTAATGTCGCTTTAGATAATCATTTCGTTATGTAGTATTGTCAATGAAGTAGTAATGTTTAAGCATTCTCATTGCAAGAAGACAACCCACTTTATGTTTGAGTTTAGGCATAAATAATTTTGTGTTTTTTCAAGACCAGTCGCTATCAACCCACTTTAGCTTCCAAGCAAGACCAGTCGCTTTGCCATAGGCATAAATAATTTTGTGTTTTTTCATAGCTTGTTTTGTAGTTTAGGATTTTTGAATAATTGTCAGTTATTTATTTTTTTGTTATTTCTTTGATTCTGTTTGAGTGTGCGTTAATTGTGCTTTATTTCCTTTGATTGTGTATAAGTGTATAACCCCCTTTGATTCTATTTGAGTTTTATTTTTGTTTTATTTTGTCCCACCTCTTTTAGGCGGCATTAAGAACTCTATTGTAATTTGATTGTTTTTGGTTAAATAAAATTTAGAAATGAGAAATAATTTTCTCACAATTCTTATTTATGTTCATTCTTTCTTTCTGTGTAACCAATTAATTCTTGTTTCGGTATTGGAAAGCAGGCTCAACTGTTAAAGCCTCTGGTTATTTTCAGTGGCTTATAACCTCTTTTATTGGGGGGTGGGTTGATGGTGTGCACCATTATACTCAATAAGAATTATCATATTTGATCTATAGCCAGTTCTAAGCTATAACTTCATGGTCTTGGTGAATACAATTGGTAAGCTCAAAATATCACACCCCATGATACATCATGATGATTCATTGATTATTACATTACTTTCTGGCATTGTCCTAATGTGAGAGGTGAAATGTTTTATTTTACTGTGAACATTTTTTCCGTGATCAAACACTTGTAGTTGTAGTATTGCAGTTTAGGCTTTCGACGGAAATTGGGACGGTGTCATGTTTTATTTCGACTTTTTTGAGGCCTTGTTTGAATAAACTTTAAATTAAAATGCTTTTATGATATTTTTTATAATTATTTTTCAGAAATTATAGTTTATAAAATAAATATTAAAAATATTATTTTTAAATTTTACTATTTTTAAACAAAATTGTCTCATTACAACTTTTCAAACATAATGTTTATAAAAAAACTGGACCTAAATGGGGTCACTAAAAATCAACCATTAGAGATACTCGTTTTAGCTAGCCGCGCCTCTTTCATGGAGAAGGAGTGTATGAGGTAGTTGAGGCTGAGCCATCGTAATTTTGTTTTTTGCTACCAAAGATTATAGTCCAAAGGAATCTAATTATTAACGTTGCTGTATTGTTTTTGTGTCCGGAGTCCGGACAATATGGTGCATGTGCAAAAGCAAATAGTATGGAGGATGCTGTAGTTTTTGTGTCCGGACAGTCTGGTCCATTTGCAAAAGCAAAAAATATCCTCCCCCGCTTTCGTTTAAGATGAAAAGAATTATGGTAAAATCGGGCTGACGTGGCCGATTGGGTGCTAACCCGATATTAGTTTATTTTTTAACCGATTATTGAAAATTGTGGTCACTACCTATGTAGCGCCGATACCGACACAGGATATGGGATACGATACGACACGACACTTCGACACGTTAATTCTAAAAAATGTTAGATTTCGACATGTTAAGACACGTTTTGATATTGAATAATATTTTTAATTTATGTTGCGTATATTATATTTAATATTCAATAATTTAATAAAAAAATAAAGTTAAACTTATAATATATATTAATTTTGCAAAGAAACATAAGATATCACAAATATTTATATTAAATTCAATAAAATGATAATAGTAATCTAACGAATATAATAGTTAGAACTAAAAATGCAACGCAACGCAACCTTTGAACCTTTTTTGAGTTTCTACAACGCGTGTTGAAGTGTTGGAGTGTCGGAAAGTGTCGAGAAGTGTCGGACACGACACGTCGAAATTTTTGAAGTGTCGGTGCTTTATAGGTCACTACAATTGTATTTCTGGAATTCAAACTTAGAATCTAAGGAAAGGAAATATAATATTATTTTGGTTGTGATATTATGTTACATATCTTTCATAAATTCAATTTAAGTGATCAATTACTACAATAACTTATTTGTCCAGTATCTCAATCAAGTCGATGACCGGTCCAGGTCTAATAACAATGACAAAAACTGCCATATTTTTAGCGTTGTCTCTTGAAATTCGAGATATGTCTGAGGTCAATATATAAAGTATCCTATGTGAGAACATAAAATCTTTTAATATTTGATATTATCCACGTATAGTTAATTTGAACGTATAATATAGGTCCAATAATTATTACCTCCCAAAGATTATTATCCAAGATGCCTCATAATGGCCTATCAGTAGAATAATCCCTCAAACATATATGTAGCATAAAAGCATACTTAACGTGTAAGATTCGCATACACAGTGGTGGAGCCACCCTCCCAATCTAAGTAGGGTCAAAGAAAATTTAACTAGTGTCAAATACTAAAACATGAAAGATTATTTTGCCACAATTAGTTAGCCACGTTTAAACCGTGGCTAATTATAGAATTTCAGCTGGGGCCCAGGCTCCACCCAGATTGTACGTGGCTCCGCCATACACATCATCCTACATACTTATGCAGCAACTTAGAGTTAGCCACCACCTACGTTGATCAATGCCAGAATAACATGGACAAGCCTCCAGCCAAGTCTCCACCTGATAGCCCACTAAGAGGCATCTTGGAATTAGAAGTAGGTTGAAAGCACCTTACCATGACATGATCTCACAAGCAAGACATGTCACATACCATCATACAGAGGAAAAGACATGTACATTCATCTTCCATATATTTCACATGTAATCAATCAAATACTGTTTTGAGTGTCGAAGTGTCTTACAGGTATCTATCTCCTCATGTTCCGATCGTAACATCCCATAAGAAGCACATCCCTAGCGCATCATATCATCCCGCTAAAAGATCCAAGTCTTTATTCATTCCATAGATCATCACCAAGCATCTTCAATTTGGACTAGACTCAATTGTGTGTAAACCCAATTTGTATAGCTTTGATAAATAACATATAAAAAGTCATTTATCCCTTTTTTTTCCATCATGTTTGGTTGGATTTATTGCAGTGGAAATAATTAATTTTGACTCTCAGAATTAAAAAATCTAAGCTTTTCCGTTAAAATATAGCTTATAAAACTGTATAAAACCTACAGGTAATTACTATTTTAAAAGTAATTTTAAAATTTTCAAAAACATACATGTAAGTTTTAAAATTGATTTTAATTTATTGTAGCAAAACCAGTTCTTTTAAATCATATTAAGATATCATTTTTAACTTTAATTAAGTTCTTTTAACATTAACTCCATCATAAAACTTTTTTTTTTGTATATACAATTACTTTTAAAATCATCCAACTGATATCTAAATCAAACGGATTCCATATTGTTTGAATTTTTATAATGTCATCTTTAAATATCCAACATTATCCATATATAATATTTTGAAACAATATATATAAAGGGATAATTTATCAACAAAACCTGACACAGTTGGTAGATGACTGAGTCCCTTAAACATGCTGACCAGGGTTCCATTTCTAACTGTGTGTATGGAAAAGACTTTGTTGGTAGAGGCAAAGCCCACTTTGGTGATTCCTACGCTTTGAAAGGATTAGTCTTCTCATGAGGAATATCTTGAGAAAACTAAAAAAAAAGAAAGATAATTTTCTGTTTGATAATTTTTATTTATATATTTTCAAAATAACATATAATAGTTATGAAAAAACTTCAATATAATAAATATGCAAAAACTTTATATGATAAAAAAAATTACAAAGAAAATAATTTTATAATATCATATTTTTAAAGGTACAAATAATATCTATATTTTAAATAAGTTAAAAATGTCATTAATTATTACTAATATCTGAAAAAGGAAACCCAGTTTTTGTAAAATAAAACCTACTAAAACTTGTTAGTTCCCTATTTATAATAAACATTTAGTCTCATTTTTATTAATTTGTAATACACCAATTACTTTGCTCTAACTTACAACGAAAAGCTTAATTTTTTTATTTATTTTTTGCCTTATCGATGTAGTATTAACACAAGATGCAAGGTTTTTCTTTATTTCGTTTTCACAAATATATATATATATATATATATATATATATATATATATATATATATATAGGGCTAGCAATTTCTCATGTTGCATGAGAAATGCAAGTTTTTCTACAGAGAGAGAAAGATGTAGGGTCCACCTTAAAGAAAAAAATAAAAAATAAAAAAGTGATTGACACAGATATCGAAGTGAGAGCGGTAGGAGAGGAGACTTCTCATGCAACATGAGAAGTCTTTTTCCCATGTATATATATATATATAATTGAATTTTCTTGAAACAGAGCTATAAGCATTTCCGTTGTTGTATTATTATTGTGTGGATTGAGAAAGAAACGCATAGACTTGTTGTTATTAACATGGATTGGGGGTATGTTAATGTGTGTTTCAAGTCTTTCCAGCAGTGAACTATTATGAAGTTTAGTTACGAGACGTACTGACATTACAAGCTATCGCGTACAGGGGCTCAAATAAATATCAAAGTTACAAATGTTACTAAGACTAATAAAAAAACTAATTTTTATAATATTTTTTAGGACGAGACTAATTATTGAGATCAATAATTTATTATTATTATAAAAATATTATTATATATATAATACTAAAAAATATTAAACTTTACGGAGGGACGATTGCCAACCCACGCCTCTCTTCTCAGTTCGCCACTGCTTATAATTTATAAGTAGTCATATATTTAAAAATATTTGCCTCTTATACACGTTCATGTTGTTTTAGAACCCATGCCAGTTAAACCCTTTGTAGTATGCATAAGGTTTTCTAAGCTCAGTTTATTTATAATTAAAGCGAGTTCAGTTTAGATCATAAATTCATTTTAAGATAAATCTACCTTTTGAACTTGGGATTTAATGGTTTATGCTAGGTTACAAATGTGACTGTGTTTTGATTTGCTTAATTTATAACAAAGATAGTTTATTATAGAAATCTTAAAATAATATTTGAACAAAATGGCATCTTCATAAAATATAAGTAATTCCAAACATTCGTCAATTGTTTGATTTAAATTGTTTTTGTTTTTTAAGGTTTCTATTAAACTATGTCTTTATAACCGATATAAAGAAAATGAAAGGTGTTCAACTTCAACTAGTATTGGAACGAGGTCAAAATATTATTTTAAATATACATAAATACTATAAATGTACAATAGTAAGTAAAAAAAAAAAAAACAACGTACATATGTCAAGTGTGTAACGAATAAATGGAAAAAAATGAAACATATTTATGATATAATTAGATTTATTTATCACACATAAATCATATTAAATTAAAGTATTATATTAATATTAATATAATTTTCTTAACTCAAACTAGTCCTATATCGAATTATTAAAAGGAATAAAGTGAAATTTTACATCTTATGTTAATCCTACATCCAATAAGTAAAACAGAAAAAAGTGAATACTTTTCGTTAAAAATTGAAGGCATGTAATTGTTGTATTACAAATTAATAAAAATGAGATTGAATGTTGATTATAAATTGAGAACCAAATATTCTTATTAGTAAAAATGTTTAATTTTTTCTACCCAAAAGTTGTTGGTTTAGTAACAACCCAATTAGACCATAGATTTAACATGTCCAAAAAGTAGTTCGAATATTGAGAATCACAATTTCCGGAGAGGGTGAATGGGTAGAAACTCGAAACTGGATTAGTCGAATTTATTAGGACTTCGTATACTAGTTGGTATATACAAAAAAAAAAAATAGTTGGTTTTATTTTATTTTTTTTTCTATTTTTTTTTTAAAGATTCAAACGTATATATGAACCGTAGGGTTCAAATATCAGTTTTGGAAAATATTTTTGGGCACAAGTTAGAGCATTGGTTATTGATTTTTTTCTTCTTTTTTTTGTTTTGAATCTTAGAGTATGGTTGTGCTCGAGCTTCTACGAAGTAAGGTGATAGTTGCGGCAAGATGCTCTTGCGTGTGCTCTAGTGGGAATAAGAGAGTTGTGTACTTGGATCAAAGTTTGTGTGCTCTTGGAGCATTTTTTTTTTGATGGGATTGAGGTGAAAGAAAGAGAGAAAACGTTGAGGAGAAAGAAGAAATAAATTTTTTTTAGTCAAGGTGGTAATTTTTTAATGGAAGAACCATGGTAATTCTGGACTATAATAAAAAAATTTGTGTATTTAAAAGATATTTTGACACTCAAATTAGTATAAGCCATACTCCTAATGTGTAAGGTGGAATATTTACCTTATACTTGCTTAATGAATAAGAGTAAAAATCCCTTATTATATATGACGGCTGACAAAAGTCTCCAAAGAAATTTAAGATTTTTGCCTTTAATTATTGGGTCTAATATTAGTCGGCCTAAACTGGGAACAAGGTCCAATTAGCAAGGTCAATTTTAAAAATCATGCCTATGGCATCTTTTAATTTAGTTAAAATATAAATATTATTTGTACCTAAAAAAATATGATATTTTAAAATTACTTTTCTTGTAACTTTTTTTACCTTATTAGGTTGTTTGGTATTTATGATATTGATGTTGTTTTATCTCATAAAATATTTTATGTTATTTTTAAAATATACATAGTAAAAATTATCAAAAAGAAGATTATCTCTTTATCATAATTGATATATATATATATATATATATATATATATATATATATATATATTATGAGTGTAATACTTCTTCAGTCACTTAAGATAAAATTATCTCTAATAAACCTAAAATGACATTGTTTCGAAGAAATGACCTAGAGAGAAAAAAATATAACATTATAAACTAATATAACCCTAAATAAATCAGAATTATATAAATATATTTTTCTGAACTTCAAAACGACATTATTTTATGTTTACTGGAGATAAATTATTTTGAGTGACTGAAAAAAATATTAGACCCATATATTATTTTGATAACTGTTGTTAAAAAAAAAACGTATAAGTAATTTAATCTGAATAGAGTTTAGAGCAACATGTATTTTGACCCATGTAAGAAGAGGGCATACTTAGGTTTCTCTCTCTGCTCATCTTTCCGGAACGGAATCCATAATTTTGATGCTACACAGGATGTGAACCCTTTATTAAACCCGTCATTTACAGCAAAACTGAAATCAATTTGTCCATTAAAAATTAAGGGTTCATTTAATCTCATGTTACATGAGAAAAGATCTTTCATGTACACACATGTAGTGGGACCCACCATTTACAAAAAAAAAAAAAAAAAGTATCACAATTTTTGATTAATCTATTGGAGATAAAATTATTCTTATATTGTATAAGAGTAGTTTTTCCAAAAAATTAATTAAGCAAAAAAAGCAGCACCACTATGGACCCTTCTTCAACAACTTTCGATAATGCATATTACAAGTTGATCCTCCAAGGGAAAGGCCCATTCTGTTCTGATAAAGCTTTGCCTGATAGCCAAGACACCAAGCATATGGTTTCAAAGTTTGCCACTTTACAAGAGGCTTTTGTGAAGTCCATGACCAAAATCGGTAGCATCTTGAGCTTAATACCCAAATGTCAGTCCTCCTACTTTTATTCATCAATCATTAACTAGCCTGTCATAAAAAACTTTACCAAATCTGCTATAAGAGTATACAGATGAGAGATTTGTTGTGAAATATAAAATAAATTTTATTCGTTGAATTTTATTTAATTTTTTAAACTTAAATATTATTGAATCATGTGAATTTTTAAAAATAGTTACATGAATTTTTAAAATAATTATGTCAAAATTATATAACACTTTCCTACTTTTTAAATTTTGACCACTAGTTATTTATCATTTTTTTTTACCACTTGTTTGAAATCAGATGTCGATTCACGCATCACTTTATGCATCCTCTTATGACTATATTGAAACTTGGCTTATATAAGATAATTTTTTATTATTTAGAGAAAACGCATCTTGAGTTGTTTAAAAGATGGGTTATAGTGTTTACCAAAAAGAAAGAAAGATGGGTTACAGTATTTTAAGTAACATCTAAAAACCACGGGGACATGAAAGTTCTACTTCTAGTGATATATCCGAAAGGTAGTTTTGCTAGGTTTTTGTGTCCATCATTCAGTCTACTTATGCTCACAGTTATCATATGTTTGAAGTTCTTTATTTGATTATTATAGGCATCACACAATGTAGAATTAAAAACTTGGAAATTAATAAAAAAAAGGTATAAAATGAATAAGATTCAAATTGAAAATATTGTCACTTTAAAAGAAGTACAATGTAAGAATGGAAATATATATGGTTTACAACTTTACTGACATGTTTCTTCTACATTATTTACAAACTCAATATCAAATTAATGCTAAAAAGACTTGACCAAACGGGTAATAAAAATGCCTCTCTTGTGTGCGTGTGCTAATAGAAAAACCTACTAATTTGAATAATACAAGAGAAAATAGGCAAAGGTATGCTCAAAAAATGGCTAAAAGCAGAAAAATGGCCATTAAAAATGCAAAAGAAGGTTTTATCTTAAATGAGTGACTAGATGGAAGCCTTTCAGGATCAGTAGACTGGTTTGATGTTGCTTCAGGATTCACAGCCATAGCAGGAGAAACAGCAGGAGAGTGCGATGGATTAATAGGTAAATTGGAGAATTCATCATCATAACCTGAGAATACCATATCTCATTGTTTAACAATAATTAATGAGAAAGTAAAGGAAAGCATGCTGTTTTCTGAAGCAGTAGAGGTGAATTGTACTCACAATTAGATTCTTTCCATCCCAGAATCATGTTCTCACGGTCAAATACTACACGGTAACCAGTCATGAAGTTTTCTGCATGAATATATATAATGAATGTTGCAAATATGTATCAATACTTCAGCAACAACTTGATAGAAATTTGTAAAGAACCAATTCAACCCAAAAACGTAAGCTATTGGGTGAGGCTACATTAATGATTTTATATATCTTACGTCTCCTCACACGAGAGCCCATTGAGTTTGAAGGGTAGACGATGCACAAGCCCACCTACCTATGCGAAGAAAGAAATTCCACTACAAAGAAAGTAGGGGGCGTTGAGGATCGAACCCGGTACACCGAGGCTCTAATACTATGTAAAGAACCAATTCAACCCAAAAGCTTCAGCTATTGGGTGAGGCTACGTTAATGATTTTATATATCTCAACAAAGTTGTACATGTTTTTGTCATAATATTGAAGCATGGTTTATTAAAACAAAAAACACACAAGCAAGACATGCATTTGGCGAAACACTACATAATATCACAAGAAACTGAAGAAGAGTCTGATAAGAATGTAGCATAGTCTGAATTGAAAGCTTCAATATAAAAAAAATACTCACGTCCAATGATATTCAAGTTGTTGCTTTTCACGACTCCCAGACACAGCAAGTTAAGATTCTAGATATCACAAGAAGAATTTACGAGGTTAAGAGGTCTGAAAATCATTAGCTATAAATATCATGAAAACACAAAGTTGAATTTCATGATCTCACCTCACCAGTTACGGTTACTATTGGGTCCATGACAAAATAATTGTCACCACCTTTCATCGTCAGATTCAAAATGGGAGCTTGAACTTTCTCATTTGGGCTGCAGGTAAAGTCCAAATCAGTGCCTGATGGTTTAAAACGAAATAGAAGTAGAGCATTCTCTCAAGCTATAATCACCTTAAGTTATAACAGTACTCAAAGGGGAGATCAGAATCAGAATTTGAATACCGTTGTTGTTTAATTAGTGAATCAAACTGCAAAAATAACAGGAAAAATATATATTAAGAACTCAGTGTGACATGTAACTCTAGTTACCTTCTTAAACAACTATAATATAGATAGATTACTTACGCTGTGAGTAATCTGTGTATAAGCCGGGTCGTTTAGGGATGTAAACGAGGTACCAGAATCAAATATTGCATGGAACTCAAGATCAGAAGCATTTCCTCCCACAACAATTTGGGTAATGGTGATGTTGTAAGTTGGACTGGCAAGAAGTACCCATGTTAAAATAAGCACTAGTAAAGTTAGTCACAAGATTTTCTTTTCTTTTTGAGCCAACCCTCTCATTCAGTTTCTTTTGTATGTTTCAGTTTGCATCTAACCACTTCTTGTTAAACTAAAAAGAAAGAAGAATGAAAGATAATAACTATACTTACTGCAATGCCCTGAGGTTGAATGGTGTTTTTCCTTGGTCCAAGCTGCTATTATCCCCAAATGTGATTCTTCCAAGACCATCAGATCCAAAACACATTGAAAAAGAATTTGAAGTAAGACCTTCTTTGGCTAAGATACTTGGGACAGATAAATTACCCATGCCAAGTCCAAACAGACCATTTGGAGCTGCACCGTCCAAAAATGCACCAGTCTGAACTTGACCACAACTGCAACGTAATTGAATGACAAATACCAATGTTAAAAACATTATACCAAGCAGTTTCAAAGAACAAGTATCAAACAGAAGCCATGATTAAGAAATAATAGTTTTAATTTTAAGGACCAGCTTGGAAACTTAATGTTCTCTTGTTCACAAACCTGCTAAAGGTTTATTGGACATTGTTACTATAGTGGGTATCATCAACCTTCATAGAGGTGAACTTTTTTCCACTTCAATCACTATATACAATGTTATAGTCCAACTTCCTAGAGCAGAATAATGAAATATGGCCAAGAATATATATATATATATATATATATATATATATATATATATATATATATATATATATTTTGGAAATGGCCAAGAATATATTCTGATGCTTCATATATATACCCAATAAAGTATCTCAGCAAGATGTTGTGAATTTTACCCAAAAGTGATTCGTGTGTCAGCAACTTTTGTTTGATCATCATCTGTAATTAAGTGCAACACATCCTCTACCAAGAACCCAGTAGTGGAAGTACCATTTGATAGATATTCAACTCGATACGGACAACTGCCACCAGATGAAGGGCATTGTCCCTGTTCCTCACATAAGCTGCTATTGCACAAAACATTTTGGCTTGTGGATGATCCTTTAACATCATAGATATTAAATTCAATTGTCTGCCATATGAAGAAAGTATTAAAAAAAGTGTCATTAAATTCAAATTTCTACGTCACTTTTGTTTATAACTGATCAAGAACCGACAAAAAAGAAAGAAAAAGATAAAAGAAAAAACTCAAAGAAAAGGGCAACATGAATCCATTTAACCAAGACTTAACTATCAAGATATCCTTCAAAAACTAATTATGATGCAAATGAAGTTTCACATAGGGTATTTTACTCTTGACTTGGTAAAATGTGTACACAATCATAAATTACAAATTGATAAATGCTATATTTAGTAGAGGTAAATTAATCTCGATACCTTTCCATTTGATGCCTTTATACCACGCACACAACTGGTACAATTGCAAGGTAACCAGAATAAGTCACTACCGGTATCCAATGCCACAAGAAACGATAAAGCTGGTGTCCCAACAGAAACGTTGGCAAAATGCAAACTGAAATCCAAACAACGAGGATAAATTATTACTACATACGAATCATCATAGAGAATGCCTAACAAAACCCATCACAGAAATGAAAAGGTAACATAGAAAACATCATTTGTTTAGTACTGTAAAGAACCTTGGGATACACCACTCAAAAAGCTAGCTCAAAGCGTGGCAGTGCCCAAGGTCTTATAAACTCCACACTAGTTGCACATTCAACCAACGTGGGACTAGCTCAAAGGGTGACAGTGCCCAAGGCCTTCTAATCTCAACAAGTACAAAGTTCTGAAATTCCAAGCTTAATATGATCTTATAATGGATCACATCAAAATCCTCTCTCTTTTTTCAAAAAAGAAGTTTCCCAAGTGATTCTCTTCCTGCACTTTTTCATATACCAAACACATGGACCATATTCTACAATTTTTTTTTTTGTTCGAAATAAATCATTTCCCTATGCTACAAAATTCTTTTAAGAAAAAATGTAAATTTGACAAATGGTTGAAGAACTCATACAATCCAAAGGCGCCAATCTGATAAGTGTCGTTGCCGGGAGAAAAAGTGAGCGGCGTCTGATGATCGCCGGCGAGCCTCCGGCCCCGGAATACACGGTCTCTGTGAACCATAGCAGCATAGTATTCACGAGTTCCCTTGTCTGGTAGCTCATGAAAGCCCATAATTCCCTTCACCGGATCCGAGAACAGGTGGTGTATGTCAAACCCGAATGAACGAAGACCATAGCAGCTCTGTGAAGCTAAACTCATCAACAACGCCAACACCAGCGATATACACAGGGAACTAAAACGCCAAGCCATGAGTTGAAGCTAGCTATGTGATATGCGAGATTTTTCCCAGATAAAAAAAATAGTAATAACTATATATTTTGAGTTATCCCAGAATGTTCTGCTCTGCGCGTTCGAATGAAATGTCAGTGGCACTTCCAATAAACGGGTACAAAAGTTCCGTATTTTTGCTGTGGACTATTGTCGTTGAGTTGACCCCAAAAGTTGAAAATTAAAAATTAAAACATAAAAAACGGAGAAGGAAGCTATCAAGATTCAAGAGTCGGTTGTGTTTGGTTGAGGTATATCTTTGTGCTTGCGAAAAAGTCTTGAGTCTTCTTCCTCTCTTACGATAATCACTCATCAGATTGGCAAAATGTGGGTCCCGAGTTGAGTATTCAATTTGTACATGAGTGTTACTTTGAGACTTTCTGTTTCTTCTTGTTTATATTCAATAAAGTTAGTTCAACAAATAGCATTTTGCTGGGGGGAAACGAGTATCTTAGCAATTAAGAACCAACAGCACCCACTTGAATTTTTCCCCAACTTATACTTTCTTTGAGTTTTGTCGAGATACTCCCTTTGCTGATATTCGAAGACTAATCCTTTTAAAACATAGAGATCACATAAGCACTGGCGGACTTAGGTGGGCACTTATGTCTGCAAGTGCGGACATAAGATTTTGGATTTTAGTTTTTTTGTTGTTGTAGCTATGTAGATCCTTTTTTGTCTCTTGTTTAATATTTATATTAAGAGTAATATCATTTTAAGTTCTTAACAAAAAAATATAGTTCTCACTTTAGTCTCTTATAAAAAATTAGTCTCGAGTAGGTCCTTAAGAAATTCAAATTGGATCAATTTAGTTAAAATCGTAGGTAATCCTTCACAAATTCAAAAAAGACCTGCATTAGTCGCTCAAAAAGACCAAAATGAGTCCACTTTAAATTTCATAGGGACCAAGTGACTATTTTTTTTATAATGGACTAAAGTGGGGACCGGATTTTTTTGTTAAAGGGACCAAAAAAGATATTTATTCTTATATTAGTTAGCAACGTAGCAACGTACAGAGATGATTAAAACAACGTAGCAAGGCAAATTGAGTAGAGAGAAAACTTATTTTTCCACCCATGTCACGTACCCATTCTCATGATTTCTTCATCCTTTGTTATGGAAGTAACTAGATTATGAGCGGTTCAACGTTAATTTAAATTTTCTTTACAAAAAAATATTTCGCGGTCGCTGCCCTCGAACCCCGCCACTAAATATGCGGACATAAAGAAATTTTTCTGGATCCGTCACTGCATGTAAATAAGTTTTTCCTATACCATGAAAGAAACTTATACTCTCTTTTATATTTCTGTCTTCACCATTGGCATTCATGATTGGTAAGAGATGTTGTTATATAATATTTTTTAAGTTTTGTTGCTACATTTGTATTCAAAGTAGGTTTAATAATTATCTTTTACATATATAAAAACATAACGGGTCCGTGTGAGCTCGTATAAGAAGAAAAGAGAAAAAAATATGAATATCACCTATTTTTATATATGCGTAAGAGATAAAAATTATATGAGAAACATTAAACTTTTTTTTAAAAAAAATCATCATTTCATTGAAATACTTTTAAATGACAAAACGAAAAGGGATAATGGTCAAGATTTACACATACGTGAATAATTATCGCTTACATTATCTTTTATCGATACAGCAATTTTTGGTCACACGTGAGTAATTTTTAAAATGTTAATATAATTTTTTTTAAATAAATAAAAATGATAAAACGGGAAATGAATAATAATGTTTTTTAAAATAACTCTTTGGATAATTAAACAAATGAGTTAGTGCGAATCAATGTAAATAATTGAAGGTAGCTCCTGGTAAAATTAACAAATAATCTTTTCTGGAAAAAATAAAACAAGCAAGAGTTTAAATGGAAAAATAATTTTCCATTTGAAAAAAAAAAGAAGAGAAATCATTATCTCATTTTACATGAAATAATTATCTCATGTTGTTTTCACATCAAAAATTGTGCCATCATCTTTTTTTAATAAGTGATAGGCCCACCACTTCATATGTCTATAGTAGAAGATAACTATCTTCAATAACATGAGAAAATAGAATCCAAAAAATATACCCAAATAATGCATGCAATGTATTCAAGAAATTTTCCATGAGTGCATGTCAATACCGTATTCCTAACAAATAAAACTATCCCGTTGATATTTAATTTAGTGGGTATTCGTTAACAATCATATTGTATTTTATTTTAAGAAATGTTTTTGATATACCCTTAAAGCTATAGATTGAAATTATAATATAATTTAATTAAATTATTGACGAATGCATTCATATTTATTTATTTTAAAATTTTTTAAAGGAATATTATTCATTAAAACATGTATCCTAGTATCGTACAAACACCGTAAGGTAATGAGACTTCAATCCAAATAAACAGACAAGAAAGCTCTATTAATGGTTAGAGGAGAGAGGCGGGGAAAAGTTAAAAAGTGAGGCAATAAGAGAGAGAAAGCGATAAAGGTGGTTAGGTAAAGAAGAAGTTTGACGTCAATTTCCACAATTGGGTTTTGCGTTTGAAGCAAGAATAAGATGAGCCACTCGTTCTGTGCTTAAAACAAAAAAGAATTCCATGTCATTCTCACTTCATTATATATTAGTGTTTTATAAGAGTTATGTGGTAGAAAAAGTGATTGTGTAATGTTATAGAGATTCGTTTTACGTGCCGTAGTTGTTTTTTTTCTTCAAAAAGTATGGGCCACACAAAATATTATGTGTAGAAAAATTTATTGTGTGATATTAAATGACAAATACAAGTCCTTGTATTTTAATGGCGTTTTAGGTTTGCTAAGGTGTATTTTTCCTAAGAAACACACATTTTGATATTGAGTTTCCTCAAAATATACACTTATGCAGCTGTGCTGAATGCGACAACAACTAAAATGACACATTTTGTCATTTTAATTACTCAAATATTACGCTTTGAAAATAGAATATTAAAATGTCGTATTTTAGGACCCGCTTGATCATCACATATTATGTGTTTAGGACTCGTTGCGAGCAGTGACGATCAAGGACCTGTCATTTTTTAAAGCGGAGTAATTAATTTTAAAAATTTTCGGCAGATTGGTCATTGTCCATGTGGTGATTTTTTCTTGTTGAGTAGATTATTTTAAAACAAATAAATTTAAGCTGATTAGTCCATCTGCTTATATGGCCTCAGTTCGGCGACGTGGCAGCTTAAGTTAAAGTAACAGGAGATAGTGATTGGTGAACTTGTTCCACCTCTTTCTTTGTGAAGCATGAATGAACCGTGAAGAAAAAGGTGAGATTGCGTTGCTAGTTGCAGAGACCTTCCAACTACAATTCCAAACACAAAATGGTGAAACACGAGGAAAGAGATAAAGCAAGCTAAGCACTCTCGGCCATTGGTTTCTCAAGTCAAAAATTCAAAGAAACAAATTGACCGCCATTAGGGGTGATTTTCTTTGACCAGATCCGATGAAACTTTTTTTTTTCTTTTCATTCTTTCTTTTTTTATAATTTGGTTAGCGGAGGATACATTTTGTTCATTAGCACCTTAAAAACTTGATACATAACTATCAGGCGATAAGACTGATCAATATCCCCAAAAATTGGTACAACACAATTCTCTTCGATACAGTGGGGTCGAGTGTATATGTCTAATTAGAGATTGATAGATTTGTACGAGATTTGCATATATCTACCACAGAGATATCACCAAGGGTCACAAATCGTTGTGTATAAAGATGAATGGCGTAGTAAAAGTGTACAGTGATAACTAAGAGAAAATAAAACATAGTATGTGTAGGTAGGATTATTTTTTTATCTCTATTAGGTGGTTGCTTGTTCTGGGTTATTAAGTTGGATAATACAAGTCTTATGTTAGCACGAGCTAGTTTAACATGCTCGGGAGCTTCAACTCTCATTCTAAAAATAGAAAAAAAAATGGATTGAGATGAAATTTAAAAAAAAAGAAAAGGGTATAAATTAAAGAAAATTTTCTTTTTTTAGTAAAGGACCATCGAATAGTGTTGTGCTCCTGGAACACATCAAAATAATCTTGTTAGCATATATAACAATGTTCTGCCATACATGATTGATAAATGTGCAATCTTTTTTAAAATAAAATAAAATAATAAATTTTTTCCTTGAATATTTTGCGGGAAAGCAAATTTGTCTCCCCGAGAATAAAAAAAGTAAACCCTATTAAGGTAGAAATGAATATTTTTATTACAAAAAAAAAATTCACTATCAATTTATTACTTATTTAATTATTATTGGATTAGTATTTTTTCTCTCTCTATTTTTCAACATTTTTCTCTCTAATTCAATAGATAATTAGATAGATAAAAAATTAATAATATCCTTCCTTAAGATATGACATCCATAACAAATTCTACGTTCATTGTTATATATTTTTTTTCAATGTCACCGTGCTTATGATAAGATAGATTTATCACCGGTTCCGATTGGACTGCCTCAAGGTCACCTAATATTCGTTGATATTTATCCCAAGAAAAATATTCGCTGATATCATGTAGTACGTGACAAATGAACGTGTAATACTGTTTGTTTGACGATGATTGTGGAATCATTTGCACTGTTCCATACATGCATGGAAATGTACTTGTCCTATGATGGGATGGGAAATATTTAATATTCTCCTGATTCATTTATGATTTAATGGTTTACATTAATAAAAATCAAATATTTTGATTTGTTTGTACGGAGAAATGGGAATTTTTATTTTTTCTCAAAATGGCATCTCCTCGATGAAAGAAATAGCTGTGCCGAGACTACTACATGTACACTTTTGATGAAATGGTATCACTCAAGCCAGGGATAATATTTGGCAATATAAATGTAGTTTTACTAATAATTTTTTGAAATTAATGTTTTTTATATTACAGGAGATAATTTTATATCCTATATACATATAAAAATGTGTATGACTCATATTTTATTTTTTTCTCTTTTATTCTTACATGGTCCTACATAAGTCTCACACACTTTTATGTATGTAGGAGATAAAATTATTCCTTACAACATGAGAAATATCAATCCCTAATTTTTTTGGGTATATCATTTGCATTATTTTATTTGTTAATTTTAAACATTTAAAAAATAAGAAGTTAACTTACTTGACAAATTATGTCAAAATTTTGAATAAGAATTTTTTACGGTACTTACAAAACTTTTAAGGTTATTATGAGAAAAAATTAATGTTGAACATAATTATAGAAATCTGAGCAATTGGATGTAAAAACTGCAAATTATGAAGTCCTTTTAAATTAAAAC